GGGGGGGGGGGGGGGGACGGCGGCGGAAAGGGGTTGGCGGGCATGGGGCGGAAGTTGGGGTGGTTGCGGGGCGGGCAGCTGTGCGCGGTTGGCCGTGCCGACCGCACCACCGCCGTGTCGAGGATGTGTCTTAGACAGGGACACTAATTCAAGTGTTTTCAACAGCAGAGATGGAATGCGATGGGGGCTCACCGCGTCAGGTTTGCATCAGTCGCGCCCTCCTCCCCTCCAGCCTGCAGGTTGGCCTCAACCGCCGCGGCGTCTGCAAATGCCGCGCGTGTCTCCGCCAGCAGCTGGACAAGATGTTTGTCGTCGGGCTCCCAGTTGTTGGGCCTGGTCGGGGTGGAACGCGCCCATGATGTGACCGACGTCGGGAGCTTTGAGAGCAGAGTCGGCATGTCGCGATTGGTATGATAGATTTCACGCTGCGCGAAGGAAGTGACCTCCGCTTCACTGTACCAAAAATCCGGGTGCAGGACAACGCAAGTTGGCGCGCAGACTGGCTTGACGAGCATTATCAGAAGATGTGATCGGAACTAAGCTGCAACACTGTAGAATAAGCCATTGGGGCAAGCGAGTTGGCCTGCCGAAAGAGCAGCTGCACTCCAAATGCAAGTGACCCAGCGAGTGTGTGAGGTGCTCGTGCTGCCGCGCATGCCACGCACGTGCCAGGCAAGCAGCATGTGCACTTTGGGCGCCGTGTAGTCGTCGAATTTACAAGGCAAGTGCGCTCACACCTCTGCAGTCTGTGACATCGACTGTGGTGACATCATGTCGACACATCTCCGAGCATCAGGCAGGCTTGAAAGGGCTGGATGGAGCGGGGATTGAGACGTATGCACTATGCTGTACGCGGCTGTAATGCCCCTTGAGCAGCAGGCAGGGGTCACTCTTACACCAGCGCACGGCAGGTTTCGGAATTTTCGCCCGTCATGAACAAGAGTTTGTTCAGGAGCAACGCGCGTGATCAGCAGCAGATACCGGGTGGAGATACAATGCACACCGTCTGCAAAACGCGCAGCAGGGGGGAGGCAATTGATCACAGAGGCGGTTTGAACACAGAATGGGGCAGGCCCGGCCTCGCCATGGGCGGGAGCGTGTGTTGCAGGCAGAATCACACATGTGTATGTCAGGGGGGCCAGCAAGTGCTGTGGGTGCCCCAAGATGAATAAAAGGTGCCGGCATTGCCGCTGCCATGTAGAATGGCTCGCTGCTCGGAGCGCTTCAATTGCAGAACCGCAGGGGTGGGGCGATACAGGGCTGCTAGCCATATCGAAATGCTGCTGTTTGTCCTTGGCAGTCGAAACAGCATCAGCCAGATGCCGAGAGCGGTTTCAAATCAGCCGCCGGCCCGTGGCGCAAGCTGCTGAGGGCAGCGCAACGCATTCAGTGGACATGAAAGGGGCAGAAGCCGCGACCTGGAGTGATGCACACGCGCAACAAAGGTTCCATGCACGCATGGAGGGTTCAGGCCGCTGTGCTAGAGCAAAACGCATACGCATGGCATGAGGCTGTTGCGTGTTACGCGCGTGTGGGTTGGTCGGTGCCAGGACAGTGCCCGCAACGGGCTTGAGCGCACCCTTGACTCTGCGACACCAATCCACTGCGTGGCGGCAGCGACAGCGGTGCCATCCGAGGAGGCCGACACTGCGGTGAAACAGTGGGGAGGGGCCGCTTGACGGAGGCCAGTTGTTGAACAAGGCCCCTCAGCTCGCAACAAAAGGACGGCAGCTTTTCATCAAAATGCCAAAGCCCGAGATGACTGTTTGCGCAGCGTGGCGGGTGCGAGGGCCCAACAGCCCGCCGAACAGCTTGGCGAGCAAGCGGCGCCGCCGCCGGCGTTGACGCTCTGTCTCAAGGTTTGGGGCTCTCCACCCCTCTGTCTGCTCAATTTTTGACGCACGCCGCGCAAGCCAACGCCGCTGACTGCCGCGTCGCCTCAAGTGTGCCTCAAGTGTGCACACCAGCGGGCACCGGCCTCTGCGGCTCCTCGCCGCCGGCCGCCACCCCCTAAGCCTCAAAAAACTCTTCGTCACTGCCCGCGTCCCTCTCTCCCATATTCGCACGGACGCCCTCCCCCGCGCCATTGGGCTGGCCCTCCTGCTGCGCCTGCTGCGCCCGCTGCGCAAGGATGACGGCCCACGCGTCGTCTATGGGGCGCAGCTCTGCGGTGCCACCCAGGAACGGTGGCAGGTTCTGCGTGTGTGCGTGAGGTGGGAGGGGAGACGGGGAAAGCAGACAGGCAATGTTGAGGGAGGTCCCAAGGCCGACGTTGGTTGGGCTACGAGAGTACAAAACAGGGCGGGGCAGGGCAGGGTAGGGCAGGGCAGAACAGGGCAGGGCAGCGTGCTGGAAAGCCCCAACAGTAGCTGCCATGCGTCATGGTGAGCGGAGCGCCCCTGGCCGCCAATGCGCACCTCCAGCCCCAGCCCCTTGTCCAGGATCTCCCTGGCGGCCGCCTCGTCAGCGGGCAGCAGCACAATCTTGCTGCGGGTCACGGGGTCGCTGGGAAGGAGGGGGTTGTACGCGCATGCGTATGGGGTTGCGGTGTATAGAGCAGTGTCAAAACGCAGCGACGCAGGGCGCAGGGCCCAGGATGCAACCATGGTGTCGCTAGTTTAGAGGCGGTCCTGTGCGCGCCCTGCTTTCGTGGCCGTCGGTCCCTCTCAGGATGCACCTGGTGCCCTGCTGCGCTGCAACCCTGCCTGCCACGCGCTGAGTGCGTCATCGCTCCCCGTTCCCCCCCGAAAACACGCAGGCTCGCGCACATGAAGGGCTCCACCAGCTTGTAGCAGCGCTGGAAGGCGGCGCTGGTGCCATGGATGTAGAGCGCGTCAAGGCGCTCCACGTAGTGCAGCTTTGGGGGGGGGGGTTATGGGGCGGCAGGGGTTGCGTCACCAGGGAGCTCGTCACCAGGGAGCTCGTATGTGTGCGGGGGGCTGTGCACGCGGTCCTCTCTGCTGGTAGGGGAAGCGGCGCGTCCTAGCGCTGGGCCCAGCGATGGTACAGCCGCACGTGTGCGGCCTTGCCCTACCCCCCCAAAACAGAAGCAGCCTGCACGCAGCCTGCCCCCGGGCCCCTCACGTGCACTGCGCGCGCGATGTTGATGCCGCCCATCACGTCCAGGTTGCGCCCTGGGGCGGAGGAGGTGCGGAGGAGCGGGGAGGCGGGCGCACAACACGGTGACAAACCTGTCTAATAAAAAGGCCCTCCAGCGCATGGGTGCCCGTAAAGGGCGCTGCATTGTCATGTGCTGATGCGGTCAAGGTGCGCGACGCTTGGCCTCCCAACCCCGGTGCCCAGCAACCGTCCTCGCCGCGCCACCCCGCCTGGCGCAGTGACCACTTGGCTGCATCAACTCCCTGGGACTCTCTGCTTCCCCTGTCCTCGCCCCTGCACGTACAACCTCCCTGTGCCCTCCACCCCCTGCCAGGGGCCGCTCACAGCCAAAGTCCTTCATGCACAGCACGCCGGTGGTCCTGCCCGCAGGGTTGCGGGCCGGGTCCGCCAGGGCGATGGTGGCGTCGATGGCGTAGTATATGAAGCGGTGGCACTCCCGGGCGTCGACCCTGGGGCGGTGTGGGGTTTGGGGGTGGCGCGAGGTGAGGGACACAAGGCTTGTGTGTGTGTGTGTGTGCATGACTGTGAGTTGTCAACGGGGAGTAAGGCAATTCAGTCCGTGGGCATGCTGGTGTTATTCAAGGGGGGGGGGAGCTGAGGGCCGCAGTAGTCGGGGGTGGCACAGGGTGTGATGTGGTGCGGCGTTGTGGTGGGAGAGTGGTGCAGCAGTGGTGAACGGACAGCGAATCGTGAGGGGTGTGATGGCGATGGCGATGGGCATACGCACACAGAGAGGGGGCCACTTGGGGTTGCGGGAGCAGAGAGGAGGCCGACGCAGATTTGAGGGCTGATTCGAGAATGGGTCGACGGCCAGGCGCAGCTGGCAGCGAGGGGCGGGCCCGCTGGTCATCGCTCACCGTGGGAAGTGCTTGCCGCCGATGAAGATGGAGATGCCGCGGCCGTTGCGGTCGGGGCCCTGGGTCAGGGTCAGGGGATCCATCACAGGTGTGGGTGATCGTTAGTAGCAAGGGAACGTACAAGAGCAAGCAAACCAAAGCCGTCGACGCCGGCGTGCTGGTGCGGTTCAAGTATGATGCCGGGGGCGGTGGCGGGCCCTGCCCTGGGCATAACGGGTGAACGAAGCAGCCGCCTGCGTTGCCCCTGGTATGAAGACCTTTCGAAAACTACTCTGTTTCTCTCTCCACCTTTTCTATGATCTCCCTGTGACGCACACTCGCAGCCACACCTCAACGCCTGCACAGACACGAACGGCCGCCACGCCAGCAAACGTGCGCGATCCCCTACCCATCCAAACCCACCTGCAGGAAAACCTTGCCCTGCGCAATCTCGTTCGCCACCTCAGCCTCCTGAATGCGGCCGCCGGGGACGAACTCCGCGCGCCACGCCGCGTGTGCTGCCAGGTCGCGCCCCGCCTTGGCTGGGTCCCAGCCGCGGGCACGCAGCCACCTGGGGGGAGGGACGAGGCCGGAGAACGGTTGGTGGGCATGGGGCGGGGGTATTGAAAGGGCGAGGCGCCCAGGGGCAGAACCCAGGGCCCGTTGCGTCGAGCGAGGGAACAAAGGCGCGGCTGTGCGGCAGAAAGGGTGAGGTGGGCGCGGCAGGTGCGAGGTCGGGAAGGGGCCTGCTCGCTTGCTTTTGGGCGACGGACGAGCAGGGGTGTTGTCCAGAAGTGCAGCGCAATAGACGCCTTGGCAGCGGACCAAGCTGGCATGGGGCCTGCATTCCATAGGGAGATGGGCGTGCACACCTGCGCAGCTGCGTCTGCGTGACGCCCTCTTCCCCGCCGCTGACGAGCTGGCGATGCACCTGCTCGCGGCCGCCCGGCAGCGCGGCATCCACGGCAGTGATCAGCTGCTCCAGTTCCTCAGGGCTGGGGGCGAAGCCGGGGGCCCGGCCACGGCGGGCGGACGGTGCCTTGTGCGCCCGTGTGGCAGGTGCGAGCGGCACCGCTGCGGTGCATGGTGCGTCGACGCCCTTGCTGACGACGTCTATGTCGCAACGAATGTCGCTGTCTGATCCCGATGAGCCGGGCGGAGACTGGCGCCGGAGGACGTTCATCATGGTTTGTTGGACCGCTGGGCTAGTTTTGGACCAGCAGGACTTGTTTTGGCCTGTAAGCAATGTCGAGTCTAATGAAGGTCGATTAGACAAGTTTGTATGTTGGGCGCACCGCGTTCCAAGGCAGTCGACGGCAGCTCGAAACATGAGTAAGGCCAAACACACCAGACACCAGAGACATCGAGCGTCTCTCCAGCGGCGCAACAGGCATGCGTTGTGACGCTGCACGTTTAATTTTTACTTGCATGTGTCGTCTCGCACGCCTCTCCTTGTCGGTTCATGTCTGTGCTTGGCGGAGATCCTGGCCCGCGCGCCGGGCACTAGAGCGGATCTTCTCAACGTAAAAGTAGTCATTAGTGAGAGAATTGCTTCTTTGAGGCTCTGGCAAGGCCCCAGGCAGCGTGCCGCGCAAAACCATGCTGCAAAACCAAGGCAGGTCCCCCGTGGGCCAGGGTCTAGCGGCCTCTCACGGCAGTTTAAGAGGAGCGTCGAACATTAGACGGCCGCTGGCGCCCAGCCGTGCCACGCCGCGGCCTCTGCCCAGCGGTGGCGCCCACCCCGAGCAGCATGATCGGGCGCAGCACGACGCCGTCACGCCTGCCCCCCAGCAGCTCCCGCAGCAGCAGCAGCAGCAGCCCGCCTCCGACCCCGAGGCCAAGTACCAGCGCTTCGGCCCCTTCTTCGGCGGCCGCTTCAGCCTGTCTGACCTCGTCGACGCCGCGCCCCGCGTGCGCGTGCGCACGACGGCGTCGCGCGCGCGCAACGAGCTGCTGGAGCTGGCCGTCCTGAACGAGCGCCTCGCGGGCGTGGTGGAGCCCTGGGAGGCGCGCGCGCGCCTGGAGGTGCTGCGCAACCGGCGGCGCGCGTGGGACGCGGTGTACGACCTCGTCAGCGGCAGCGACGCGGCCGCGACGCTCGAGGTCATCGAGGCGGCGGCGGAGCAGGTGGGGCGTGTTTGCACCC